TGGGGGTCAAGGACTGACATGGGGCCACCTGTGTGGGGGTCAAGGACATATATAGAGCCACCTGTTTGGGGTCAAGGACATATATAGAGCCACCTGTTTGGGGTCAAGGACAGACATGGGTCCACCTGTGTGAGGACCTCCAGTTAAGAAGCCATATAGATGTCATGGTGGTTAAGAGAGGAGAGAAGAAAATGAAGTAGTAAATTGTAATTCATTGAGTACAGAATTTGGGTTTGTTTGGGTATGTTGTATTGGTGGTTAAAAACAATATGACTCTGATAGATATCATAAAATTATAATCTAAAATGGCAAAAACTGCTCATTCTATACTATGCATATTTTAACACAATAAAACAATAGAGAAAAAAATCAGCTTACCAGTTCCTTGGCCAAGTAATCTGCCAGAGTATTTAGAAGTTTATAATATATTTCAAACCATGGCAAGTAACTGTAAAAAGAATTTAAATGTATATAAAACACCTGAAATTTAGAACCAGTAAACAGATAAATGAAAAGTGAGTAGCTATTCTTAACAGCCGGTTGATCCTGATAACAAACTACACCCAGGCTTCCTTTTTCTTTACCCATTCCTACCATTAGCCACACCCGTTTCATTTTACATCAACAGCCTCTGCAAAATGACTTATTCCTATCTCAAAGCAACCACTGCTTGAGAGTACGGGAAGGTATTTATTGTGGTATTTATTGTGGTAGAAAGAATAAGTCCACATACCTATGGACACTTCCAGAAACACACACTGGAAGAGACAGCATCTTCAAAAAATGGTGCTAGTCAAACTAGATGAACGTAAATAGATCCATACCTAACATCCTGCACAAAACTTAACTCCAAATGGATAAAAAACCTCAACATAAAATCAGATACACTAAACTTGATAGGAGAGATAGTGGGGAATAGCCTTGAACTTAATAGCATAGGAATAATCTTTCTGAACAGAACACCATTAACACAAACACTGACATCAACATTTAATAAATGAGACCTCAAGAAACTGAAAAGTTTCTTCACAGCAAAAGACACTGTCCTTTGGACTAGGTGACAGACTACAGATTGGGAAAAGATTTTTACCAACTATACATTCAAAAAAGGGTTAATATCCAAAATATATAAAGAACTCAAAAGCCTGGATATCAAGAAAACAATTTAGCTTAAAAAATAGAGTATAGATCTAAACAGTTTTCTCAAAAGAAACTCAAATGACTGAGAAACAAAGAAATGTTCAACATCCTTAGTCATCAGGAAAATGCAAGTCAAAACTACTTTGAGATTCTATCTTACATCTGTCAGAATGGATAAGATCAATAAACCAAATGACAGCTCATGCTAGCAAAGATGTGGAATAAAGAGAACATTCAACCATTGCTGGTGGGAATATACGTTTAGAGTCACTATGGAAATCAGTACGGCAGTGTCTCAGAAAAATGGGACTAGATCTATCTCAAGGTCCACCTACACCACTCTTGAGCATATCCCCAAAGGAGTCTACATCTCACCATCAAGACTTTCTTAACCAACTCATTGCTCCTCTACCCATGATAGGTAGAAATTGAAAACACTCAAGATGTCTCTCAATAGATGAATGCATAAAGAAAATGTGATACATTTATTCAATAGTATTACTAAGCTATTTTTTAAATGATATGAAATCCCAGGCAAATGGCTGGAACTAGAAAAAAACAGACCCCAAAAGACAAATATATGCATTTGCTTATATATGTGTATAACCTGTTAACTTAATGATAAGCAAGCTACAACCCATAGAACCATAGAGGTTACAAATGGAGCGAGGGACTAGGAAGTATAGCTAGATCTCCCTAGGAAAGAAATGCAGAATAGATAGTCATGGATGGGCAGAGAGCAGGGGAGAGAATGATACTGGAATGGGAGGATTACACAGGGAGAAGAGAAAGAAGAGGGAGGTAAAAGACAGAATATGGGGAGAGACAGCTAAAATCAAGAGCCATGTGAACAGTCACATGAAAACCTACCACAGGAGAAGCTTCCTAAATTACATACATATATAAAGGTGAACTACATGAAATCACCAAATAACAGGGAGACAGAACCCCAACTGGATATCTCATGTCACCAAATGAAACTTCCAGTACCAGGAATGAGTTATATCTAATTGAGTTGTACACCATAGGAGGAGACAAATGCATCCATCCCAAATCCAGAAGCTATCTCCAAGTGATATCTACCTGCAAATGAAAATTTAAGTTTTCTCCACCAGAGTCTTACTGGGGAAACAAAGTACTCTTTACGAGCAGGCTACATGTCCAACAGAAAATGAACTCAGTGGCATCTTTGGAAGTTCCTTGTCTCATTATACTCTGTACTGTTGCTGCTGCTCCTCCTTCTCCTCTTCCTCTTCTCCTCCTGCTGCGGCTAACACTGCTGCTGCTTCCTTTTTCTCTTCTTTTTCCTTTTTTCTCCTTTTTTCTTCCTCCTTCTCCTCCTCTTCTTCTTCTCTCTTTTTTTTCTTGATTGGTTGGTTTCTGTTTTTCCCTCTCCCTCTTCTTTCTTGCTCCACATGACCTCTGTATATATATTATGGCTTTGCTCTTGTGTTTTTATGGGATTCCCTAATGCGCAAACGAGTGGGTCTCCGCATCTGTATCTGTTTCTTGGGTCTTTCCCCTTTGTTTTGTCCCATTCTGATGTTTGCTTTTGTTTTATACTATCATATTTTATTTTAATATTATCCCTTAGACTCCTGCTTGTTTTCTACTGAGACAGACAGGAGATGGGCCCTGGTAGAAGGGGATACGGAGAAATGGGAGGGATAGAGAGAGGGAGCACCATAATTAGGATATATTACATGAAAAAAGTATTTTCAGTAAAAATAATTTGTTCTAATGAGACACATAACACTATAAGAATGAAATTCTTCAATTTATTTTTATTTCATATTCACAATTTTATCTGTATGGAGAAATTACTAGTTCAGGAAATTGCAATATAACCCATACTTCAAATATATGTGTCCAGGTAAGAAAATTCTGACCTAATCTGCTCTCAAATACCTTAAGAAGAAAAGAATTGTTTGGGTTCAGGTTCCCAGGCTACTATAAAAATACTATAATTTCCTAGTCATAAGGGATTTAAAGTTAGTTAATCTTCTTCTCTTATGGACAAAATGCCTGTGCAATCCTTTCAATCATCTTGCTCTCCTTTTTCATTGTTTTCATTGGTTAGCTACTACTCTCATTTTATTTTCAAATTATGAAGAGAAAACCTAACCTAATTTTCATTAAGCACCTAATAGGACTATTGACTTATTTTAGAAGTGATATATTAAATATATCTATCTTTATATTCAGATATTACATCAGAACTTCTTGGAGTTCTTATTTATGATAGGAATTTGGCACCTACATAGTTTGCTGCTTTGTAAGCATCCAAGAATACGAACTTTCATAATATCTCATCCTGGTACCAGGATGACTTTGTCTATAACAGATTAACATTATTTAACAAGCAGGTTTACCTTTATAATGGATTTCTTACACTCTCTTTGAGGCTTGCTATGATTTATATTTATGAGTGGGGAGTATAACTCAGAAGTAACAGTAAGTCCACTGGATGTAGAGGACAGAATCTAAGAATCCCAAAATCTATACTGTCATTATAGAAACTACAACTTGAAAATAAAGCACTAGAGATACATAGAACCAACTGCTATGTATTTTATATGAAATAGCTCATTCAAACATTATAGTAATAAACTAAAGTCTGATGGCCTTGTCACCATGAATAGTTTCCCATATCTTAGTATATTCAACTTGAATGACACTCTACTCAGCCTGCCCAAGTATTATGTGTCCCTGTCCATTACAGACAGCTAAATAAATTGCAACAAGTCAATCTGTTTTCAACTTTTAATTCTTTTGGAAACAGGTCCTTGATACACATCCTAGTCTGGTATTGAAGTGGCTACCCTCTTGACTCAGCATCCTGAATGCTGGGATTGCAGGCATTCACCACACGGCTGGCCAATGCTTACTTAGCTTAAGTAAGCTAACATACAGTCTCTGTCCACTGAAGGAAGAACAAAAGTCGAAATGTATGTTTAATATTCAAATATTAAATGTTAAATATTCAAATTTAATTTTACACCTTTTAAACCACAGTTGGTCCAGAAGGTAAAAATTTCTCAGATCCATTTAATTATTTTGTCTAACACTTTGGTAATCCTTGACAACTCTAGGTCCGATTGCTTGTATGTTGTTTATATTACTAGAAATTTTGAAAAGGACATAGCCTGCAGCATGGTAAAGCTAGCAGAAATTCAGGTGTGTTAATGCACAAGCTTAATCATAGTACTCATAATGACATTATCAATCCAACAGTTTCCTCTGAACATAATATACTTTTACTAAGACACAGATTTCTGAAAGATCACTCACTTTCTGACACATCAACATATACTATAACCACACAGAACCAAGTGCGGATATGCTGGTTCTCCTGAGCTGCTTACTGCAATAAATTGTTCACAATTTTTTTTAAAAAAATAACACTCGTAATCAAGTGGAATTAGTGTGTAAACACCCGGGTATGCTCCTGGGAACATGAGAAAACAAAGGCTTTTTTTTTTTCTGCAATCCTGCACCCATCCAGAGCAGAGGCTCCACACTGGCCATGTGCAGCAGCAGCCAGCCAGCCCAGGGCTCCGTTTTCTATACCAGCAGTTCTATGGCTTTGTTTAATGTAATAAACTGTCAGTTTCTAAATATCAGCTAATACCTCGGGAAAATCTCATTTTCTTTTCTCACTAGAAATCATAATACCTGGAATCTAGCCATACAATATTCCTCTAACAAAAGCCTGGAACTGAGACATGCTCCTTCGTGTGAGCCACGTGCTGCTCAGAGCATGCACTTCTCTCAGTTTCCTGTAATGAGGCACCTAACCTATTTCTCATTCGGGTCTTTTACCTGACTGATCCCTGAAGAAAACCTAATTCACAACTCATAAAGCAAGCAAGTGCTCAACAGAAAATACTACTTCTAACTACACTGTCTGATGTTTCACAGAGAGCGAAATAATTCCAATGTTTTAACAAGATTCTATTTGACAGTTTTGTGGCAAAATAAATAACATTCCTTTTTTTAAAAGCATTTTGTCAAAAACTTTGTATTTTAATATAACACATAAAATAAATATTATAAATCATATATGTCTTTCAGGGTAAGAAATGTTATGAGTTTGAAATTTTGGGTTGTTTGGCTTTTGTCGTTTCTTGTATAATTTCTAAGCAATATATGTTCAAAGTAATTTTCACTTACATATAAATTCTTAAACTGAATACCACTAACTTAAATTTTTCCTCTCTTTTCCCCTACTTACATACATATTTTATAACTAACAACAAGAAGGCCAGAAAGTTAAAACATTCAACAAAATGTAGAAAACAAATCTTT